CAGAACAGGTTTCCGGTCCTGTCGGGGTAATGTTCTCATAGAAGAATGAACCGCTGTGAACCCACACCAAACAGTTACCTTTGGTGAATGTAAGGGAATTGCTGTGACTGCATGTGGTGATTTGTTATCCCAAGTTCGACAGTTCTGGGTATTCACAGTTCCATTCAGGTAAAAGTGGGCCTTGTCTCCCCATAAAATCATCCATCACGGCCAAGCATCATCCACCTCGATTCTGGCAAAAAAGGTGAGAGCAAAAGTCAACCGCTTATCATGGTCGGGGTGCAGTAAGTCCTGTACACGGCTGATGTTGTACGGATAAAAGTTGATAATTTTTCGTAAGATTTTTCCATACCGTACTGTAAGGCATATCCATATTCCATAAGGCATATCCATAATAAAAGGTAATTTTATTCCGTATTAATTTGCATTTGTTAACACTCTATTTTCTATTACGCAGCGCCAAATATTCCCCTAGCGGTGACTTTTGGAACTAATTTTTTTTTCGCGGAATCCTTCGTTCCCCGTCTTGTTTATTCTTCCTACAAACTGTGGCGTCATTCTCGCAAATAGATCGCGCGTCAGAACACTGTGAGCACTGTCAGTTTAATTATGGCCACCCGGTATTAGGTTAAAGCCGTACTGCTCTCTTGTTTTGCAGAATACAAGCCCATGCCATCAATATTTCATAACTCATCAGCATATGCCAAGTGTTCTCATGTTCCGAGTCTTGAAATAAGCGGAATGCTAAATGTATCACACTAAATGCAATCAATAAAGGAAGTAAAATATAATTTTATAATATCCGAAGATACCTTCCAAACTGTTCTGTGAAACACCAACATATTTCCCTATTTCAATTTTAAAGCAAACGTTATCGAGTGTATGCTACTGAAAAAATTGCATTTAAAAAGACAACTTTAAAGTTTTTCAATTACGTCAAATGCCCAAACATTTTCACTGATCCGGAAACAAAAGTATAAATGTACATCTTATTTCAATGACTTTCATAAGTTAATCTTCTACAGAGCTAGTCAAAATCTTTTACAGCATAATTAAGAGTTAGGAGGCGGAATTGCAGAAATTCCTTATATTCGTTCTTAATTATTGTCAAAGTTCCAAATAATGGGTTTGAAGAAATTCCAGAAGTCCACGTATATGGAGATATTGTGTGGCTAGTGTCGCCTCAAGTTTCGCAAAGTATGTGAAGAGAGGCGATTGTTTTAGTTCAACTACATCTATATACAAGCTGTGAATGATTAAAAACGTAACATTTTATGCACTAAAGCGCAATAAATCGACAATACACATAAATGCTAAAAACCCTCTACACAACTATAATAAAAATATATATGCATCTTTGCAACAATGTAAAACAAATGTACCTACATATATAACAATACGAAATACAAAATTAATATGTTATATTTACAATATTATAAGGAATAAAAATAATTATTTACACTAAACTACACCAGAACTATATGTCTTAGTATGTATACAGTATGTAAATAAAAATGTTTTGTATCTTTCGTGGAATCAAAGATATAATTGCTTTCTGTAATACATCCTTATTAAGTAGGAACAAAGAAGCAATATGCCTGCAATCTCTGCAGAAATGAAACTATTTCACAGTTTAAACCCAAGTTTGCGTTTGCAAATGTTGACGCGTTTAATATATTCTAATTTGTTCATATAGACTGCTTTGCACCTATAGAAATATTTACGCACCTAGAATGAAAATTTTCAATCCCTTTAGTTTGACTGTAAATTATTCATTTGCTATAAAAAGAATTTGAGTACGTTTTATTTAACTAATAAGTAAACCTGAATGCAACAATAGCGTTTATGATATTGATATTCTGCTCTCTTTTCATACAGGCTGCTAGTAAACATAAGTTTTATAAAAAAATATCAAAAATTTAAGTGACTGTTTTTTTTTTTTTTTTTTTTTTTTTTTTTTTTTTTTTTTTTTTGTACAGCAGAAATATTGTACCGTCGCATAGAAGAAGGATTAACATGGATCTTTGTTTCAAAGAACAGCATTCAGCTTTTATTAAGTATTATTTCCTAGAATGAGAATCCTCTTTAACGTTTGACCCTATTCAAAATTTGAAAAATGAGCTTGTTAAATTTTATCTCTGATGATTATCTCCAAACAAATGTACTTTTTTTTTTTTTTTAATTTTTTTAAAAATATCGTTGTTTTTTACTGAGATAAAAATATTTAAGAGAACAAAATGATTAACGGAAGCATAAATATGAATTCAACAGTAAAAATTATCGTTTATACATTAGATGAAGCCATCCTGATTGGCATAATAGTTAGCGATGTTTTCGGCTGGATTCGTCTTCGAATATTGGATAAGACGAATAAGTGTAAGTGTAGAGTATTTGTGTGGCCTTGGAGCACTTAATACCGGCGAGTTGAAAATCCTCTTGAAGGGTTTGGTGATGAGGGAGAGGAATGGCTAGGGATTCTCCATCAAAATTAAGATGTCACAGCTCTCGCTGGTGTAATTCTGTCACCCCTGTGGTTCAACCTGGGCAACGTTTTCGGTGATGAGACGGCTATATGTCCGTTGGATGTTGGCCATTCACGATGAATGCATTAAGTTTCAATTAAGCTGACCATTTGAGCTACAAACATGTGCTCAAATATCTTTTGAAATTGAAACCTTTTTAAAATGAATTTCGCTGAATGCATGCAGTCACAAAAGCAATAATCATGATAGCAAGTGCTGAATTTCAGAGGACAGCTTGGACTAATTTAATCGTTAATTAAAATGAAGCTTCACGGAACTGTGAAGAAAATTAGATTTAAAATTAGAAAATATTTTCATTGCAGGTGAACGAAGCAAAGCGAGCAAGTTGTTTTATTTCTGAAGTTTAAAATGCAAGACACAGTTTAGCGTTTCGATCAAAAACTGTTGTATAAAAATTTAGCTGCATTTGACTAAACAGAGAACAGTTCAGCTCTTAAGTTTCATAGAATGGCAACCAAAGACTCTACTCTTTTTCAAGAGGTAGAAATAAAAGCTTCGTTTTGATTGTAATCATAACACGTGGTAACTAACTAATAATTGCAAATATTCTGAAGATTATAAATGTGGTTAAACCTTAAATTTACATTCCTCGTTTCTACCTTTTAGAGACAGAAAGAACTAAAATCCTATTTGTGGTTATCATTATTTTGCTCTAAGAAGCAGAAATATTGACTCTAGTTTCTTAATTCAGAATAACAATTCAGAATTCAAAATGGAAAAGAAGCTAAATAAATTCGAATTAGAGAAACGGATCTTCTCATCATTACCTCAAATTTTGTTACTTCGATAATGTTGAGCTAGAAACTGGTAAATGTGTTGTTTTTCTGTCTTGAAGGATATTTAGCATGATTAAAAGAAACAAAAATGGCACTGATTATAAACGAATCTTTCCAAACCAGAATTTCAGCAAAACATGATGTTCATATGGTGCTTTTTGCCCACAGAGAGCAAAAGGTTTCAATTTCACCGATTTGTGCCTTACTTTGTACTATTGCGTTTCAACTGCTTTGTAGAGACATTAGGATTTTTTGAAAGCCGGAGAGATAAAAAATTAGCAATCGACTTCAGCAGGAATCGAACCACGGACCTCTGGAATACCGACCCAGCGTGCAGAGCCACTACACCACGAAGGCCCGTTAGGAAGGCGGGAGAAATACCTTATATACCCTTTAAAATGGTGGAGTAGTTCTGAACGCTGGGCCGGTATTCCAGAGGTTTGTGGTTCGATTCCCGGAGAAGGCGTTGCTAATTTTTCATCTTGCCTGCTTAAAAAAATCCTACTGTCCCTACTGTGGCGCCCGAACTAAAAGGGTGGTGGATGATGATTTCTTCCCACCCAGGATTTGGCGATTAGGTCCCATAAAAACCCCAGTAACCCTTTAAAAGGGGGAGTATATAAGGTATTTCTCCCGCGTTCCTAGCGTTCCTTCGCGGTGTAGTGGTTCTGCACGCTGGGCCGGTATTCCAGAGGTCCGTAGTTAGATTCCCGGCGAAAGCGTTTGCTATTTTTCATCTTTCCTGCTTCCAAAAATATACCTAATTTCTCTACAACGTCTATGTAAAGAATAAGTCATGTCGATGAAAACCTCATTTAAATGTGTTTTGTACAAAATCATTCTTTTCGTGTTATAGTAGAAACGTAGTTATCATTTCGAATGACAGCATGCAAACAAATGAGCAAATTTATAAAAGCAAAAGCTGTAATTACATTTCCTTAATTTTCTACATTAAATGTAGAAAAACGAAAAGCAAATTTTCTTAGGATCAGTATCATGATATTATAATATAATAACGAACTAAATATTGTATTCTAAATTTGCAAGTGTTTAATAATATCAATGATTACGGAAAGAACTTATGCTTCGTGAAAACTGTTTTGAAAGATGAGTTTAAAATCTTATACTGTTATTTCTGAAATTAATATCTATATCCGAAATTTAGAGGATAAAAATATAACACACTTTGCTTATATGTCCTTTAATTCGTAAATGTTTCGCGGATTTCTTCCTGCTTTTGTGAAATAAGTAGCGAATACTAAAACAGCATTTACAAAATAATTAAAATAAAACACTCTAAAGTTTTTAGATAGTAACTCTAAACAGCACTTATGAAGCAAGTAAAAAAATTTTTCCTATTTCTTCATTTGTAATACATTGTTTACTGTTGTATTCTTTTGTTAAACAAAAGATAAGCAGTTTGCAAAATTGTTTGAAACGAACACTTCAGAGAGAGTTATTTATATGCGCTTATGCTTGATACCTCAAGTTATATATAAGGATAAAACCATTTTAAAGCAATCAAACAAAACTTTTGGACATCAGAATTTTATCTAGGGAATTTTGGTGTCTACTTTACATCAAACTCCAAAGAATTTAAGATTCCAGAATTCTCTTGATAGAAAATTTGATATTAGCAGTCCTGAATAGTTGATAATATAGTCTCATCTTATTTTATTAGGCACAACATCAAACTAAAACAGGAACCTCCAGAGGAAATATCGTCTCTTCGAGATTTCGTCCCCTCTGATGATAATGAGATTCTGGAAGAAATCTTTATAGAAGCGGTTGATTTCATAGCCCAGAGATACGGTGAGTCATAAAAGTATTCATTGGTTTGAGTTGTTGCTTCTTAAGGATCTAGTTTTAGATAAATTTTAAAGTTTTCTTTTTTAAAAGTAATAATGTCATGCTCGATCATAAAAAATTTGATTGTTGAAAAGATTAGAATCTGCTATTGATTTTTAAAGAGCATAAATGTCACTTAGAATTTGCCGTAGAATAAAAATCACGAATATCGGGAAGCCATAATGATTATGAAATATTTCTGAATTATAAATTTTAATGCGATTATGTTTAGTCTGATTTGACAAAAATAGCCAGGTATGTAATTAAGAGCATTTTAGAAAATTACCAAAATCAGTTCTTGTTAATGAAAATTAAAACATTTCTTACTACGCAATTGATATTAATCTATGAATTAGTATTTTATGGTATTAGAGGTTCTCCTTAAGTACGCTTTAAGCTGCTTTTATGAGTATGGTTAAACAAGTTTCGAGGAAGTCTGGTAACGTCAAGGAAAATTAAAAATGCACCGGGAATATCGAAAAGAAAAATTTTATTATTTTTTAATCTTTCATATGGTATTAGAATGGATCATAACTGATTCGTGCTTGATGTTTACTTTACTTTTATTCTAATTAATAAATTCTGTTTTTTAATACTAATTTAATTATTGTTTGTTGTTGAGTTACTGAATACTCTCTTTGATTCTTCCTATGTTATTTATTCTCAGCAAAGCGTCTTTTTTTAGCAAATGAAAAGGATGATATCGTACTTCTGTGTTATGATAAATGCAATGATAGTTCACGCGTTGACTTATTAATGATCCTTTTCGTAGATAAGCTGGGAATCATAGTTGAGTGTATGTTTTAACGAAAACTGCTGCAAAAATTATGGTGATTCAGACAGAAAATTCTGCACTGCCTGGAATTGGGTTTTGAACTAAGGGCTTTGAACCAACTCTCAAGTATTCTATCGCTGCGCTTTAAAACCCGACTTCCCGCTTCGAATACTTTCTACTAGTATATCATCTATCTATCCTAGAGATTGCTGCCTTGAATATAATCAGCGATCAGATAAGATCCGACTTGGAAGTATTTTCATACATTTAGTGATGACATTGAAAAAAAGTGGTAATAAAAAAGTGGTTTTATTATTTAAGGTTTAATCATCTTTGGGAATACAACTCGCACATAGAATAGCAAGCAAATCAATTTCTTACCGCATCGACCGCAACGAAAAAATCTCTGAACATTATAGACGATAAATTAATTTTTTATTGCTACTAAAACTTCCAGTTAGACTGAATAAAATTGTGCGGCCGATCGATATTGTATAATTTAAAGCATACTCAGCTTTTTTTTTTTCAACCTCATTATGAGCATCGTTGGCGTGAAGAGTTAATACATGCATGAAGACCTAAGCTTATATTGAAATAATCAGCTTCATTTAAACACGAAATTAAAGTTAGTTATGACATTTTGCTTAAGGCTGTTTCGAGACATATGCCCTATGTGATGTCATATTTAATCCAAAAATTAATTTCAGATTTTGGATTCGGTAAAGCATGTATGGGAAGTTTGTGTATAACGGACATCAAGGGCAATTAGTTTGCAGTATTTTTATACATGTGAAAAAGTACAAATTTTCGTTTTAAATTCTTAAAATGCAAATAAAATTCTGATTTTTAAGAACAGAAATCTTTCAGAGTTCGCAAAATTGTTACCGTATTCTGAGATAGTGGTATTACGTTTGTGATCTCTTTTAAATGCTATATTTTCTACGGAACATGCAAGGACAATGCCACTAAAGGAATAGTCTCCATTCTGCGGCTGAATATATGCAAAGCATATACTGAGAAGACACGATTTACGAATTATGGAACACTGGTGATCAGTAATAAAAAGATGCGAAGGTAAGCTTCCTCCTCTTCTGTTATGAGCTACAGCATATCTTAAACGCACACATAATTTTTGCAAGAAATCTGCAGCACTTCGTATGGGACACGCAGCAGGCCTTCACATCATTTATGTGATGTGATGTTGTGTGTTCATAACACCGATCAATGATGTGATGTGAAAAGCTTGTCATTAATGCACGTAACTTGTAAATTATACTTTTCAGATGCATTTTCATAAAACATTTTGTTTTTTTATTTCGGCAACTTCTTCGAGAATAAAAGACCTAACCATCGCATTTGCAGGAATCTTCTCATAAAGTCAGAAGAACATTAAAAAGGTAAATTTGTTTACGCATAAGTTTTGTTTCTCCATGATAGTCTAAAAAAGTAAATGACGTAAAATCAAATGGCATTTTGCAAACAAAATAATAATTGCAAATGTATTTCAACGTTTCTCTAAAATGAATCAAATAAAATTGAAGCAAATAAAGGGAAACAAAGCAAATAAATTAAATTTTTGATGAGATGAAAAGCGAACGAATGTCATAAAATTTTGAACGTAAGTATGATTAGTGACTTTGATGAAGCATTTCTTCCAGTTATTTTTTTCAGCGTTAAAAATGTTCGATATACTTGGATAACGCTTTAAACAAATAATGAATTCTTAATAGGCTTTCATCTCTCATTAAATTAGTTACGCGACTTACAGTGTATGTGTATACATTGTTATCAGTTATAGATAAGGTTAAGGAACTGAGTAGGAAATTATCTTTCAGTTTTTAAGAGTAAAAATAAATTAAAACTGAAACTTTATAGAATTCACGACTCGAAAGCGTGACTTGGAATGCATGTTACATTCATACATAGCCTTTTCTCTAACATAGGTATTTTGACACAAAATCGGACTTTTCTGAAATGACATACCTGTTTTCTTTTTCAATACTTCGATTTTACGACTTAAAATATGCATAAATATTATTTTTTTTAAAAATTTAGTACGAAACTTACCGAGAAATTTAAAAATTCATCTTGTAGCACTTTTTTCAGTTTGCAGTAAGAACAATTCACTCAACGAGATTCTTAATTTACGGTAACCTATTTTCCTTTCCCTTTTTTCAGTGCGCACGAGCGGAAGAACAAAGTGCGTATAGCACATTTAGCGTTACTATCGCTTATAACAAGTATGCCGAATTTCTAAACGCGCGAATACATAAATTCATGTATATCTTTGGGAATTTTGAATAAGAAACTCTAATTTTTTGCAGGTGTGTCAAGATATACATCTATTTTCGGATGATGGTAAAACTTTATAGGCTATAATCCAAAATTGAATCACTAAATTTCAGTAAATTTTATAAATTTCCGGAAATTTATAAAATTTACTGAAAAATAAAAATTTAAAAAACAAATCAGAAAATATCTGCATATTTTACTTCGATTGAACCTTAATTTCGAATTTTGAAAGAAGAAATCAAGCAAGATCGATAGGAAGAACTATTAATAAACAGATTCCAAATTCAATTAACACTGGAGAGCTAATTTTTTTAAAAGCTACTGCGATTTTTACAAAACTTGGCACTTTGGCATGGTTTGAGTCACCAAATTGAAATATGGAAAAAATAGGTATGTTATTTTACGAAAAGTCCGATTCTGTGTCAAAGTATCACTGTTAGAGCAATGTATATATAAATCTAATATATATCCTATGTCGCGCTTTCAGTAAATGAAAAAAGCACATTAAATTTCGTCAGTCGGTCCAGTAGAACAGGAAATACAGAAATGTCCCATTTTTTATTTTGTCAAAGTGTAATTTATGCATTAGCAAATGAATAATGATCATTGCTTCACTCATAGATATTTAAAAAATCCTTAATAGTGCGGCAAGTACAAGTAAAAAATTTTATAGTTTAAAAGAATAATTAATGACTGCTTACTAAAGAAGATAAATTTCACAAAACTTAGGAGATATTTGTTCGAAATTTAGAAAACACATACATTCAGATTATTTGGAATTGTGATTTAAATACTTTGAAGAAAATCTAAAAATAATAATTACAATGGCAACAACAACTTTGAAGATCATGTTCATGTATGAATAGGCTGTATAGCTACAGAAATTCTGTTTGGCTTTTCGTTTACATAACCGATAAAATACTAGAAAAATTCTGAACTGATTTTGCTCAGAAATCCCCAGTTTGAACAGTTGCAAGTAAAATAATTATAAGGCGCGTAAGAAATTTTAGTTGTTGCAAAGAAATTTATTGAGTATCTCAAGTATAATTGCTATGGATATACAAAACATTTCTTCGAATCTAACGCATGCAATCCCATCTTTGGGTGCTTACATTATTAGAACGAGCGAAAAACATTGTTGTTGTCTTTGAGTAACAAATTACTCAGCCACCTGCCAAAGTACAAATACTAGAAGTTCACGAACACAATCGTAGAAGACGCAAGTGATGATCAAACATTTCCTAGGGATGCAAATCTTCAAAAAAGACTGGGATATTTGAGATTAGATTGAATGACGAGAAAGCTATCTTAGGGAAGAGATGCTTTTGTAGAAGACTTTTGACAAGAAATTGGCTTGTAATTACGTTACAGATATATCAAACTACGAAATTTTTTTAATATTTTGAACGGGCTTCATAGCGTGCATGTATGAAGCCCGTACAGAGAGATGCGAAATCGAATCGAACGTAAAGTGTTCAGCGCTCTTACATCTCGATTGGCCGTGGTTTAGTAAATACTGGAGACAACTGATTTATTTGATTCAGAAACTCGTTGGTTTGCGTGATTGACAGCTATAATAATTCAAAGGGGGTTTTCCTTTTGCAGTGAAATACTAATAATTCGTTAAAGTGATCAAAGAAATAATAAGTTCTTGTATTACACAATTGAGCTTCTAATAAGATAAAAATGTAGTTCTTCCAAAATTGATCATTGTGTTAAGCTGATAAAATTGACGACCCAAAGAAGTCTTTTTATATAACATAAAGAAAGTTTAGGAGTAAAATTTTCTAAAACATAGACATAAAACGTTAGGTGTAAAGAAGCCTTGGTTCTTGAACGCAGATAATATTCCGTAAGTTGCATCGTGAAAGATCAAGAGTAAAGAATCTCTTCTGTT